AATTTAAACAATTGATCGGCGCTATCGATATTATAAACTGCATTATTATAATTTAAATGTACGTAATTATATTTTTCTCCCACGCAGCACAAAAAATTTCCTGAATTTGTCCTGATAATTTCATTGAAAGATTCGAAATATTTCAATGAAAGGTCCATGAAATTTTGATGCAAGCAATGAAATGTCCGCCTATAAGAAATATTGCAGTTCCGATTGTACGAAAAATTTCAGCGAAATGTTCAGGAAATGTGAGGATGAAAAATTACTGACATATTATTTTTTGCAACACTAACCTCTAAAGTTAAATTTTACACATTGAAAAGTGTGTGTAAAAAAGCTCTTTTTCAAACGGTGTGTAAAGTGATTCACTTTACGCATTGAAATTTACTTTACGCACTGAAATATTACTTTACACACTGAAATTTACTTTACGCACCGAAATTTCTCTCACATAATATAAGGATTATTTTAGACCATACAAAACCACAAAATTAAAAAACGAACTTTACTATTAAATTTATACACTCCTGCTTAATGATTTTTTTCCTGATCTTCGATTGATTTTTTTAATTCTATACAATCGAAATTATTCTAATAGAGAGTTGGAATTCTTCATAATAGGTACTTAACTTTAGAGGTGGGTGTTGCAAAAAATGTATGATACACGTACGTAAATCTGATTATACTCGTGTGATTTGCATCACTCGGCTTCTCCTCGTGCTGCAAACGTCACACTCGTATAATCACTCACTTTACGCACTTGTATCATAAATAACTATTTTAATATTTGCAAAATAAAAAAATGAAATATGTTACAAATTTTTAAGTGAAATATTTTGAAAAGATTATTCATTAAAATTCTAGAAATATCGAAAGGAAATATTTCTAAATTGTTAAAAATACATATTTAGGCAATATCATCCGGATATATTTGTGAAAAATAAAAAAAATGAATTACAGAAATAAATTGCGGTAGTGATTGTGAAAATATGTGACTTAGTTGACCGATAGTAAACCTTTGTAAAAGAAAAACAAATTTCGATAATAATGCCTTAAATTATAACTTACAAATGAATCTTAAATTTAACATATCTCAAAATGTCTTAAATCGACGTATGCCGTCTTTCCGGCGATCGGTTCATATGTACCTTTTGTCATTTGCAATTTTAGACAAATTAAATTTTAAACATTTGAATACTCTGAAAAATAAAAATGTTATCAAACGACTATTCTGCGAAACAAATTTTTTGTTCAATAATAATTATGCAGTAAATTAAGAATTCAATTAAAAAGTTACGAATATTGAAAGTCCAGTCAAGTAAAATTTGTAACAAATTGACTTTTATAGTATATTCTTGCGTACCTGAGCGGATCTTATTTATTTTAAGTATTCTATTTTTATACTTACTGTTCATATATATTAATCATGTTTCGCTTGTTGCATTTTACGTGTAACAATTTCTTTATAATAAATAAACCCGAGGCGAAATTTGAATCCTCTTTAGCTTCCCTTAGAACCTAAATAGGCCCTCTTTACGATCTTGTAGACTCCCGTAGGCCCTCCTTTGAATCCAAACGTGGAAGAAAGGTAAATTTGCGACTGTTTGAGGAAGCTAAAGAGGGTCTAGTTCGATTAAAAAAGTACAAAAAAATGCAAAAAAAAAACTCTTTTAATTATTTTGATTAAAGCAAAATGAATTTTTTCTTCACACAATATTTCTTTAATTACCCTTTAAAAACTGGAATTAACATATTTTGAAGCGTTTTCAAAAAATTAATAGAATTAGAGCAATTTCAAAATTTTCAATATTTTAATCAATTTTTAGACCCTACTTTAAATCCAAACGTGGAAGAAAGGGAAATTTGCGACTAGTTGAGGAAGCTAAAGAGGGTCTGTTTAACTCTACTTTACTCCTTGTAAATTAGGGCTTAAATTTCGCCTCGGGAATTCTCACTATTTAACTAAATACACAAATTTTGTCACATATTTTCACAATCACTACCGCAATTTATTTCTGTAATTCATTTTTTTTATTTTTCACAAATATATCCGGATGATATTGCCTAAATATGTATTTTTAGGGGCTGTCCATATACCACGTGGACACTTTAGGGGGGGAGGGGGGGTTTAAAAAAGTTTGAAAATGTCCACGATTCAATGCATTTATGTGTCCACAATGGGGGGCGGGCGGGTCAAAAATCTATAAAAAATTGTCCACGTGGTATATGGACGGCCCCTTAGCAATTTAGAAATATTTCCTTTCGATATTTCTAGAATTTTAATGAATAATCTTTCCAAAATACCGTGGATGTACCAGTTACCGTCCATGTCCCAGTTTCCGTCCATTTTACAAATATCTCGTATAGTAATTTAAATTATTTTTTAACAATAATTTATTCCTTTTGGCACGCAATCGACTTATTAGTTTAAGTAAACAAATAAAAGAAAATAATTTTTTTATAAATGTTATTTTGAAAATTAAACTGGACGGAAACTAGGTCTTAGGTGGACGGTAACTGGGACATCCACGGTATTTCACTTAAAAATTTTACACACCGTTTTAAAAAGAGCTTCTTTACACACAATTTTCGGTGTGTAAAATTTAACTTTAGAGGTCAGTGTTGCAAAAAATAATATGTCAGTAATTTTTCATCCTCACATTTCCTGAACATTTCGCTGAAATTTTTCGTACAATCTGAACTGGAATATTTCTTATAGGCGGACATTTCATTGCTTGCATCAAAATTTCATAGACCTTTCATTGAAATATTTCGAATCTATCAATGAAATATTCAGGACAAATTCAGGAAATTTTATGTGCTGTGTGGGCTACTTTATAAAGAATTAAATTAATCTCAATTTTTATTCGAATACATATCCAATACATAAGCATATAATATGTACGGCCCTGAGTGTTTCCACTCTTTGACATAACCTTGACGTCAAGGGTAACCTTCATCCATTGCACATAAGACTCGCGCGCTGCAATGGTTGGAGGTTCCAGTGTACTTCCATTTAAAAAATCGTGTGAATTCCTATATGATTTCCTCTAAATTTTCTCTCACATTATCTTATGTTAATTCCACATGTCAATATCACAGGACCACAAAATTTTTTTTTGGCTCAGTGAACCGGACTATACATTCTTAAAGCATTTTTAGTTGCTGAATCCGAATCCGTTGCTCGTTTTTCTCTATCACGATTAGATATTTTTTAATAACAATTTTTTAAATAAATTATCTGTAATTTACGTAAAAAGAACCATTTTTCATGTTTAACTAATCAGGACACAAGTTTCTAGTATATTATGACGAATTGTAAAGATGCATGAATTAAAGTAATTTTTTTTTAAAGTAATTTATCTTAGTTTAAAAATACCCTTAAAACATCCCTTAATTTAAAATATCCATATATTTCCATTTGGTAAATTTATACAGCCCTAAAAAATTATAAGAATATAACTATGTATGTTGTATTAATACAAAAATAGTGTACTGTCAACTTACAAGTTTGACCGTATTCAGATCAGCAATATCTTCTTGCTGTAAAAAAATAAGTAGGGGTGCCCACAATCGGCATTCTTCCCTTAATTAATTAAAATACTTGAACCCATTTTTTCTCGCAATATTTTTATCCCACTTTTGCTATCAGCCCCTCAATCGTTTTGGGCAAAAAAATATTTAAAATCGAAATTAAAAAAAGTCCTTGATATGCTCTACAGCTATGAAAATACTGAATCTAAAACCGTTTGACAGTGCACACCAATGTTTTTGAACCGTTTTTCAACTACCATTTTCATATCTAAATACAGTCACTAAAATAAATAAATTTTTTTTATGTATTTCGAGAGTGCATTTATTAAGTGTAACATCTTATATATCAATATTTATAATTAATTATAATGGGTAGGGGCGACTCATTAAAACATAAAGAAGACTTTCTACAATTTTTTTTATATGAAATGGTGTTTCAAAGTCGATCAGTTTTCAAATCGACCTGTCAGAAAAGAAAATTTAGAATAGCAGTCAGGCGTAGGAAATTCGAAGCTATTCTGATAAAAATATTCAATGTGAAAAACATTTTTTTGAGTGACCTTGAATTTTCTCGATATGTATGTCATGTTCTAGCAGTGCAAGGCGTTCTGAATTTTGTACAACATTTACAGCATACATAAAGGAAAATTTTTTCAAAGTTTGGAAAAAGAAATTATTTTTTAAGAGCAGCAACCCAAGAACATCCTCAAAGTGTTGTTACAACGTAATACTTAAAATTTCACAAGATCCAAAAACAGTTAATTTACTATTACGAAACTGTGTATACATACAAAAGCAGTGTATACTTTGATTTAAAAATAGTATCAAGTGCAACATATTAACTATTATGACATTTGTTAAGAATTTCACAAAAACAGATTTTATTCTGTCAAAATACATTTAAATAAATATTGTTTCAGAATAGTATTTCTTCAAAAACTAAAATCCAAGTAAATTTCGGTTGTAAATTAAAACGCACATTTATATATAATTTTAAGTTAATGTTGTCGTAAAATTCCACTTAAAAATGTTTCAAAATATATTGATCAAAAAGAAAAATGAACCTCCATATAACCATAAGACATTGCGAATATTTAAAGTAAAAAATTGTAAAAAAAGATAAAGAAGAATTCGAAATAAAGTGAAATGTAGGTAAATACTACAATATTAAGCAGATACTATTATAAATATAGTAGAACGTAATGACGTATATCTCCGACCAAATTCATTAGTTTGTATATGATTCATATAAAACAAAAACTATTCACTTTGTCATGTTTAAATACCTGATATTAATGGTTGATATATAAGGCAAAAATGTTGAAACTTCATATACATACTATAATCTTAAAACATTAGATGGATTTTGAAAGTTTAAGTGAAATAACATTTACATTCAATGTAAAAAAGCAGCTATCAGTTAAAAAATAAATAAAAGTATAATAAAATAATTTATCTAATTCTACCTGCTAAGAATTCACAACAGAAACTATCCGTCAGCTGATTTTAACTGACGTTTGACGTTACTAACAGCTGTGAAGATTTACAGAAGACTAGAGTGGAGAAGAGAGAAAAAGCCATGATCTAACTAACAGGTCCCGCCACGCGTAGGTAAAAAACTCATCCAATGAACGATCGGTACAGGCGACCTCCATTTTAAAAGTTTGCGCGGTATAGTATAAAGGCGCTTGTACACCTTCCCGATCCCGAGTATATGCCGTGAAGTTGGCACCCCACTTGTAATAGACCTTTTCATGCTGATCATTCTGTCCTCTTCCAACTCATGCGTCATTGTATGCGCTAGATAAGGACAGAACGACCAGCATGAAAAGGTCTATTAATTAAACATTTTTTAAATCAATCGATAAAAATTTGGTATTTGCTAATAAATTTCTTTCTCGAGATAAAATAATTTCAGAGTGATGCATAAAATATTTTTAACTTGCATTAAATTCTGCCTTCGATAACATATACCTGTGCTGAACTGAAAATAATTGTTATTAACTTAATTTTTACTAACGAACGTTAAAACTAAACTAAGAATCACTAACAAACGACCAATAAACGATATCAATAAAAAAAATTTATTAACAATTAATCCTTACACCCCACTTATAATATAACAATCCCTCTTCATAAAACTTTGTTTATTTGGAAGCGTTGTTTATCATGCTTATCAAATTCTAAAGCTATCAAAAAGCAATTTCTTGGCGGGATGACTTTACATAGAAATAAAAAAAGCCCGCACGAAATTACACAGGATTATTAACATCCTATTAAATAATTGCTTCTCTCTAAGCATCATATATTATTGTAAATAATATAAGATAAACATGTGAAAAGGAAGGACAATTATTATGTAAAATCTCACGTGCATACATACTACATAACCTTCCCTGCTTAAAAAATTTGATAGAATTTGATAGAAAAAAATTTTAATACTTTTCAATCCGTTTTTTGAATCCGCAATTTTGTGTATATTGTATAAGATACTATCAATACTTCTTTTTGATAGAATTTGATAGAAAAACTTTTTAATACTTTTCAATCCGTTTTTTAAATCCGCAATTTTGTGTATATTATATAAGATATTATCAAAGATTTTGGATAGAAAGTCTATCAAAACGAATACTTCTTTTTGATAGAAAAACTTTTTAATACTTTTCAATACGTTTTTTAAATCCGCAATTTTGTTTATATTATATAAGATATTATCAAAGATTTTGGATAGAAAGTCTATCAAAACGAATACTTGTTTTTGATAGAATTTGAGGGAACAAAGTTTTAATTCTTTTCAATCCGATTTTTAAATCCGCAAGTTTCTGTATATTGTATTAAGATTCTATCAATTATTTTGGATAGAAAGACTATCAAAATGAATGCTTATTGTTAACAGAATTTAATGGACAAAAATTTTAATACCCCCAGTGAAAAAAAACGTATTATTATACGTATTATTATACGTATAATTATACGTATTATTATACGTATAATAAGACATACGAATTTGAAACAAGAATTATACGTATAAATATACGTATAATTATACGTGTCTATAATTTTTAATATTTAGGAATATATAAATATGGAATATATTTTTGTTTATTAATATATTCCTAAATATTATAAAATATTGACAAGTATAATAATACGTATAAATATACGTATAATAATACGCATAAATATACGTAAAATTATACGTACTATTATACGTACTATTATACGTGTAATTATACGTATAATTATACGTATATTTATACGTATTATTATACTTGTCAATATTTTATAATATTTAGGTATATATTAATAAACAAAAATATATTCCATATTTATATATTCATAAATATTAAAAATTATAGACACGTATAATTATACGTATATTTATACGTATAATTCTTGTTTCAAATTCGTATGTCTTATTATACGTATAATAATACGTATAATAATACGTGTTTTTTTTCACTAGGGACTTTTCAATCAGATTTTTGAATCTGGAATTTATAGTGTATATTGTTTAAGATTCTATCAATATTTTGGATAGAAATTCTATCAAAATGAATACTTTTTTCCATTCAATTGAGGGGCTGGATGCTATAAGGGAATATGCGCCATATTAATTAAATAACGCGTATCGCATTATAGCATCTAACCCTTCAATTTGATATATGTACTAATTTTTAATAGAAATTATTTATATGCATTTGAATTCTTTTTTTAATCTGCAATATTGTAGATCAATTCTTTAAGTTTCTATCCATCGGATAGAATTTTAAAGAATATTTATGAGAAACTAATGATTTAAAAGTATAAGAATTTCGGAATGATAGATTTTGATTGATTCTTATTAAAAACCTTTTGATAGAAAATTATTGAATTTTCCAGCAGATAGGATTGTAAAGAATATTTATAAGAAACTAATGATTAGAAAGTATAAGAATTTCAGAATGATAGATTTTGATTGATTCTTAATAAAATCCTTTTGATAGAAAATTATTGAATTCTCCAGCAGATAGACTATTATAGAACATTAATGTAAATTTTTTGATAGTAGAGTATTATATTTTTTACGGATAGGATATGATAGTTCTTTAATACATAAAGTCGATAAAAAGTTATTACATTTTCATTTGGATAAAATTTGATAAAATTTTAATCCGAATCTTTTGATAATGTAGTATTAAAGTTCCAAGTTATATTCATTTTGATAGAAATTTTATCCAAATATTTGAAAGAGAATGATTAAATGTTACACTTGCTATTGAAAATGATTGGAATTTCAATATTTGATAAATTTGGATTGGAATTTCACTTCATGTTTGATAAAAACTCTATCAAATCCAATACTTTTTTTAAACAGGGTTATATTAAAATAAATCGATTATTTATTTATATTTATTATTACATAGATAACAAAGAAAAACACCAATCCACCTCAAAATAACGATATTTTCTACTCAAAATAAAAGCAAAAACTTTATTTAATTGCGGACATCATAAAATCTTACATAAAATTTAAGAATTGAAATATCAACGTATTTACTATTATCTATAAATATAACTAAAAAGACAATGTTACACGATTTTGGACAAATTTTCGAATCTGCGAACGTGGGAACGACCGAACATTCGAACCACCTCGCGGTTTTTCACGTCAAAAACATGGAAACAGCAAAATCACACACGCTTCTTTACTTTTCGAGGCTAAAATGAATCGAGCATAAACTTGGTTTTGTGGTGGCGTGTAGAAGCTTCCGTACTACGGAAGCTTCTACGCGCCACCACAAAACCACAAAACATTTTAAGGCGCATTCAGACCTCTCGGCTGCCTGCCTGCTGTAGTTACCATGGTAACATGATAAGAGTGAGTGCAGCAAAAAATTTATAGCACATTCGGTTATGTGCTCTAAACTACGGAAGCCTGTACGGCTCACGAGCGTCTCGGACGCAAGTGGCGGTGTTTCGTACCACAAGTGGCACGAAGTCCGTCCAACTTGTGGCAAGTTCGTTAGTTCGTGCCACTTGTTGGACAGGCTCCGTGCCACTTGTGGAAAGTGGATTTTTTGAAGGGTCATTCACAAATATGACAATTCCGTTGAATCCTGTTACTATCTATTTTGTCAGTGCTTTTCATTTCAATTTCATGTGAAGAAGAAGAAATGAATTTTATAAGATATTAGTAATATTAGCATATTAGTAAATGTCATCGAACAAACTTTTTATAGTTCACACATAAATACTCCTTCCAAACGTAAATATACATATTAATAAACTACGGATTCCACTAAGAATTAAGCGGAAGTTTTTTCTTAGTTTTTTTAATTTTTCTTAGTTTAGAATAAAAATAAGATTTTTTGGTTATGTTGTCATTTTTTAATTTAAAATACATGAAGAGGATTTTATTTTTTAAAATTAAAAGTACATTTTTATGAATATTTAAGAGTAATAAAGATGTCAATATCATTTGTTTACACTGAAATGTAATCTTTTACATATATTTTCAATTAAAAAATAACAAATTCATTTTTATTCAAAAACATTAAACGGACTTGCCCGGATGAAATTATACTTGAAATGAAAAGCACTGACGAAATAGACGGCAACAGAATCCAACGGAATTGTCATATTTGTGAATGACCCTTCAAAAAATCCACTTTCCACAAGTGGCACGAACTAAAGAACTTGCCACAAGTTGGACGGACTTCGTGCCACTTGTGGTACGAAACACCGCCACTTGCGTCCGAGACGCTCGTGAGCCGTACAGGCTTCCGTACTAAACTACGGAAGCTTGTACGGCTCACGAGCGTCTCGGACGCAAGTGGCGGTGTTTCGTACCACAAGTGGCACGAAGTCCGTCCAACTTGTGGCAAGTTCGTTAGTTCGTGCCACTTGTTGGACAGACTCCGTGCCACTTGTGGAAAGTGGATTTTTTGAAGGGTCATTCACAAAAATGACAATTCCGTTGGATTCTGTTGCCGTCTATTTCGTCAGTGCTTTTCATTTCAAGTATAATTTCATCCGGGCAAGTCCGTTTAATGTTTTTGAATAAAAATGAATTTGTTATTTTTTAATTGAAAATATATGTAAAAGATTACATTTCAGTGTAAACAAATGATATTGACATCTTTATTACTCTTAAATATTCATAAAAATGTACTTTTAATTTTAAAAAATAAAATCCTCTTCATGTATTTTAAATTAAAAAATGACAACATAACCAAAAAATCTTATTTTTATTCTAAACTAAGAAAAATTAAAAAAACTAAGAAAAAACTTCCGCTTAATTCTTAGTGGAATCCGTAGTTTATTAATATGTATATTTACGTTTGGAAGGAGTATTTATGTGTGAACTATAAAAAGTTTGTTCGATGACATTTACTAATATGCTAATATTACTAATATCTTATAAAATTCATTTCTTCTTCTTCACATGAAATTGAAATGAAAAGCACTGACAAAATAGATAGTAACAGGATTCAACGGAATTGTCATATTTGTGAATGACCCTTCAAAAAATCCACTTTCCACAAGTGGCACGGAGCCTGTCCAACAAGTGGCACGAACTAACGAACTTGCCACAAGTTGGACGGACTTCGTGCCACTTGTGGTACGAA